ATATGCATGTGACTGTTTATTTACCCACACCTGCATACAGTTACCTGGATATTGTAAAGTAAACGCAACAATGAGATTACACGTTTAACGGTGACGTATTTCTCCCTGATTTATACAGTAATCGGTAGTACAGTCAGGGCTTTGTTGACGTTGATCACACTTTTTATGTTAAGGGACACAAAGTATTGCACAGTTTAATTTTTATATGCAATAACAATTTTTTTTGTTGATGTTCGAAATATCTAATCACAGCAAACAAAACATCAATGTGATTGTATAGGAGCTGACTAACGATGACGTATTTGCCCGACTGCAGTACGTATAGCAGGAGATTAGTAATTAGACAATAAAGCAGATTGCGATGAGCTGACTAACGATGACGTATTCTTGATCAGTTGCACGACTGCAGTACGTATAACAAAGCAGATTGCGATGCTAAAAATAAACCAATTTGTAGTCCGAAAAGATATATAAGCAGCGTAGTGTAGACTGAGCATCGATACCTCCTTATCTTATCAATGAACGAGCATCAATTTATTCTGAATTCATAAAGTCTTTCTTGAACAACCCGTTATAATTTTTATCTGACATATACAACCCAGATATCCTCCAAAGCGATAATGGCAAGGAATTTGTCGCTGAGGTTGTTACACGAGTCTGCAACACCCTTGGCATAAAGATAAAACACGGCCGTCTTCGTCACCCGCAATCCCAAGGCCAGATCGAACGTCTCAACCAAACTATCGGTCAACATGACATGCTAATCTCCGGCAACTGGCTAAGAGCTTGACTTTTTTACAAATTACGTGTAGTATTATAACGAAATGAAGCTAAAAAATATACATCAAAGTAAGGCAGCAAATTCATTTGAAAATAGACATGGTTCTGAAGATAGTCATTAATAAGAATTCATTGACTACTTCAGTTCGCGGATATTGGAGGTACAAAGCAAGATGGTAAGCAAAATTCACAATGTTAAGCTTCTTTTTCCTTATCATTGTCATTGAGACGTTTATTTCTGCTTTCTCACAGGCAAAAAGAGCGCTCGAGTTACTAAATTTACCGTCAAACACATCTTGTTACTTGTTGGATATTGGCTGTGGATCCGGTCTAAGCGGTGAGATACTAGAAGCAGAAGAACACATATGTGTTGGGCTTGATATAGCGCCAGCAATGCTTTGTAAGTCTCTGATGATTTAAACACACAACGTCGATTCCTTATTGTTGCTGAACACTATATATAATGAACACGTTCTAGAGGTTGCTCTTGAAAGAGAGGTTGAAGGAGATTTATTTTTGCAAGATGTGGGTCAAGGCTTGGGTTTTCGACCATGGAGCAATAAGGTAAAAACCATCGATCGATTTTTTAACCGAGTTTTTTAGACATTTGTTCAACTCGTAAATTGTTTCCTTAGTACAGTATATCGGCGCTCCAATGGCTCTGCAACGCGGACAAGCAATCGCACAATCCTCGAGCCCGCCTGCACCGATTCTTTTTAACACTTTATTCTTGTCTACGGAGAGGAGCGCGCGCGGTCTTTCAATTTTACCCAGAAAATGACGACAAGTGCGAATTAATCATGAACATTGCGATGCGATACGGTTTTGATGGCGGTATGGTGATTGATTTTCCAAATAGCAAGAAGGTGGAAAAGTATTTTCTTTATTTGTTTGCTGGTCATCGGTCGAGGTTTCACTAAGCTACTCTGGGATAATGAGAATAAATTACAAAGAAAATATTAGATACGTGTTATCGATGCATTTATTATCAATTACAATTCGACCGTGCATCGTGCTCACAGCATTACGCCTCACCAAGCGATGTTTGGATGGAAGATGCATTGTGTATATAACACACCCGACTAACGAGATCCAATCAATGAAAAGAAAGGCGCTCGTGGTCAAACGGGTGGTTAATCAAACAGGGAGAGGAAAGATACCATCGATGTATGCGTTGGTGGTAGTGGGGAATGGTAATGGTGTTGGTGGATATGGCGAAGGGAAAGACGAATAAGCGGTTATGGCAATCAAGAAGGCAACAAATAAAGCGTTTAGATTGTTAAAGTATTTCAAGAGATATGATGACAAGACTGTGTTTACCTCTGATTATATATTAATATACTTTGATTAGGCAGCTTGTCATTTCTTTATGAATAGAAAGAGGACGGTTATTATTATCCGTATCATAAATGTCTGGTCCCTTTGCCGAATTTCACTCGATATCGGGAGCCGCCGGAATCCCTCTTCGGATTTCTTAATGTATTTGAAAGGCTTAAATACCTTTCTCCATTTGCCAGTGCGGTTTTCCACGGTCCATATCATATGTTTGGCGAACCTGCCATGGAAGCGATTATTAATTTCAAATGGAGGAAATTTGCTAGGACGTGATATGTCATTTTTATTGGTTTATATTTCTTGTATCTTGCTTCATTTATGATTGCCGTTACTCTCGATTCCGGCAGAGTGGACCAGGGAAACATGATCAAACATCTGGTCTTTGTGTTCTCGATTATGGTATTGGCGCTCGGATTCCTATTTATCGCAGTTGAGATTATGCAAATGATTGCATATTGTACTTCTTATTTCAGCATGTATAATATCATTGACCTGGGTAGTACTATCTTGCCAATGATTTATGCCGCCGGGGTATTTTCTGGAAGCAGCTGGAGACGTGGATGTGTTGGCACCTCCATGTTATTTGTCTATGTTGATTTTGTAAGTATTTGGAATTGACCTAATTTGATGTTGCATTCGAATAATTATTTAACCGAACTTGTCGTTCTCTATTATAGATTCTGCGACTCCGAGTATTCAGTGAGTTTGGGATACCAATATTTATTATGATAGAGATATTTAAAAGCGTGCGAGGGCCTATTTCCATAATTGCAATGATGGTGTTCGCATACACACACATATACTGGCTGTTGTTTTCTTACGATTACTTCTAAACTGAAACTGCCTTTCTCTTCCGGAGACTGGTCGGCTTCTTTTTTTAAGTTAGTCGTCCTTTGCGTAAACCAAAATATAATCTTGGTCGCAACTAAAAAATTTTGCATCATTTCTCGGAGAATAAACCTTTTGTCAAACCACATTAGCCACAAAATTTTCTTTCCCACAAAAATTTGTGCCTCTGGTTACCATCAAAGCACTTAACAGAATTGCGGAAGTTACAGACTTGGTAGGTGACAGTCCGGTGACGAGCGACTTTTCGACTCAACATGCGCTCGTTTCGGTCTTTTTCTTCGTGGTAAGTAATTAACTTAAAACAGCATCCGGTTTTTGTTAATTGCGTAGATATGTTTTGATTAATTCTTGTTATTAATAGACGGGCAATTTTGGCTCCCTCAGCGATGCGTTTGGCAATCCGACAGTTGCATTTCTGGCGATCGTATTTTCGTTCATAACTGCGGTTATATTATTGAACATCTTGATTGCCTTAATGAGTGATGTTGTCGGTAATGCCAAAATTGTTGGTAAACATGTTTGGCTTAAGCAGAAAGCAGAGGTAAGCTTAAACGTTGAATAATTAGTGACGTCTTTTCTTTGAACTTTAACTAATCTGACCCATATGTAGTTCATATGTGAATTGGAGATGTGTATGCTCACGCAAAGTAAAACACTAAAAATACAATTATTGTACAACCATGACTCTATAATACGAAAACAAACCACGTCAATTAAAACCATTAAAACCTATATTATTGAAGCACAAACTTAGCAACCTAAGTTGTTTTACTAGTAAAATATCTCTTATTTCCCTGCCATTCCTTCTTGTATTTTTGCATGGAATCATCTTTCGCATAGTAGTATATTAGATACGGAAAGAAATCGCGTCGTTGTCTTTGCTTTCGCGTGAGCATACACATCTCCAATTCACATATGAACTACATATGGGTCAGATTAGTTAAAGTTCAAAGAAAAGACGTCACTAATTATTCAACGTTTAAGCTTACCTCTGCTTTCTGCTTAAGCCAAACATGTTTACCAACAATTTTGGCATTACCGACAACATCACTCATTAAGGCAATCAAGATGTTCAATAATATAACCGCAGTTATGAACGAAAATACGATCGCCAGAAATGCAACTGTCGGATTGCCAAACGCATCGCTGAGGGAGCCAAAATTGCCCGTCTATTAATAACAAGAATTAATCAAAACATATCTACGCAATTAACAAAAACCGGATGCTGTTTTAAGTTAATTACTTACCACGAAGAAAAAGACCGAAACGAGCGCATGTTGAGTCGAAAAGTCGCTCGTCACCGGACTGTCACCTACCAAGTCTGTAACTTCCGCAATTCTGTTAAGTGCTTTGATGGTAACCAGAGGCACAAATTTTTGTGGGAAAGAAAATTTTGTGGCTAATGTGGTTTGACAAAAGGTTTATTCTCCGAGAAATGATGCAAAATTTTTTAGTTGCGACCAAGATTATATTTTGGTTTACGCAAAGGACGACTAACTTAAAAAAAGAAGCCGACCAGTCTCCGGAAGAGAAAGGCAGTTTCAGTTTAGAAGTAATCGTAAGAAAACAACAGCCAGTATATGTGTGTGTATGCGAACACCATCATTGCAATTATGGAAATAGGCCCTCGCACGCTTTTAAATATCTCTATCATAATAAATATTGGTATCCCAAACTCACTGAATACTCGGAGTCGCAGAATCTATAATAGAGAACGACAAGTTCGGTTAAATAATTATTCGAATGCAACATCAAATTAGGTCAATTCCAAATACTTACAAAATCAACATAGACAAATAACATGGAGGTGCCAACACATCCACGTCTCCAGCTGCTTCCAGAAAATACCCCGGCGGCATAAATCATTGGCAAGATAGTACTACCCAGGTCAATGATATTATACATGCTGAAATAAGAAGTACAATATGCAATCATTTGCATAATCTCAACTGCGATAAATAGGAATCCGAGCGCCAATACCATAATCGAGAACACAAAGACCAGATGTTTGATCATGTTTCCCTGGTCCACTCTGCCGGAATCGAGAGTAACGGCAATCATAAATGAAGCAAGATACAAGAAATATAAACCAATAAAAATGACATATCACGTCCTAGCAAATTTCCTCCATTTGAAATTAATAATCGCTTCCATGGCAGGTTCGCCAAACATATGATATGGACCGTGGAAAACCGCACTGGCAAATGGAGAAAGGTATTTAAGCCTTTCAAATACATTAAGAAATCCGAAGAGGGATTCCGGCGGCTCCCGATATCGAGTGAAATTCGGCAAAGGGACCAGACATTTATGATACGGATAATAATAACCGTCCTCTTTCTATTCATAAAGAAATGACAAGCTGCCTAATCAAAGTATATTAATATATAATCAGAGGTAAACACAGTCTTGTCATCATATCTCTTGAAATACTTTAACAATCTAAACGCTTTATTTGTTGCCTTCTTGATTGCCATAACCGCTTATTCGTCTTTCCCTTCGCCATATCCACCAACACCATTACCATTCCCCACTACCACCAACGCATACATCGATGGTATCTTTCCTCTCCCTGTTTGATTAACCACCCGTTTGACCACGAGCGCCTTTCTTTTCATTGATTGGATCTCGTTAGTCGGGTGTGTTATATACACAATGCATCTTCCATCCAAACATCGCTTGGTGAGGCGTAATGCTGTGAGCACGATGCACGGTCGAATTGTAATTGATAATAAATGCATCGATAACACGTATCTAATATTTTCTTTGTAATTTATTCTCATTATCCCAGAGTAGCTTAGTGAAACCTCGACCGATGACCAGCAAACAAATAAAGAAAATACTTTTCCACCTTCTTGCTATTTGGAAAATCAATCACCATACCGCCATCAAAACCGTATCGCATCGCAATGTTCATGATTAATTCGCACTTGTCGTCATTTTCTGGGTAAAATTGAAAGACCGCGCGCGCTCCTCTCCGTAGACAAGAATAAAGTGTTAAAAAGAATCGGTGCAGGCGGGCTCGAGGATTGTGCGATTGCTTGTCCGCGTTGCAGAGCCATTGGAGCGCCGATATACTGTACTAAGGAAACAATTTACGAGTTGAACAAATGTCTAAAAAACTCGGTTAAAAAATCGATCGATGGTTTTTACCTTATTGCTCCATGGTCGAAAACCCAAGCCTTGACCCACATCTTGCAAAAATAAATCTCCTTCAACCTCTCTTTCAAGAGCAACCTCTAGAACGTGTTCATTATATATAGTGTTCAGCAACAATAAGGAATCGACGTTGTGTGTTTAAATCATCAGAGACTTACAAAGCATTGCTGGCGCTATATCAAGCCCAACACATATGTGTTCTTCTGCTTCTAGTATCTCACCGCTTAGACCGGATCCACAGCCAATATCCAACAAGTAACAAGATGTGTTTGACGGTAAATTTAGTAACTCGAGCGCTCTTTTTGCCTGTGAGAAAGCAGAAATAAACGTCTCAATGACAATGATAAGGAAAAAGAAGCTTAACATTGTGAATTTTGCTTACCATCTTGCTTTGTACCTCCAATATCCGCGAACTGAAGTAGTCAATGAATTCTTATTAATGACTATCTTCAGAACCATGTCTATTTTCAAATGAATTTGCTGCCTTACTTTGATGTATATTTTTTAGCTTCATTTCGTTATAATACTACACGTAATTTGTAAAAAAGTCAAGCTCTTAGCCAGTTGCCGGAGATTAGCATGTCATGTTGACCGATAGTTTGGTTGAGACGTTCGATCTGGCCTTGGGATTGCGGGTGACGAAGACGGCCGTGTTTTATCTTTATGCCAAGGGTGTTGCAGACTCGTGTAACAACCTCAGCGACAAATTCCTTGCCATTATCGCTTTGGAGGATATCTGGGTTGTATATGTCAGATAAAAATTATAACGGGTTGTTCAAGAAAGACTTTATGAATTCAGAATAAATTGATGCTCGTTCATTGATAAGATAAGGAGGTATCGATGCTCAGTCTACACTACGCTGCTTATATATCTTTTCGGACTACAAATTGGTTTATTTTTAGCATCGCAATCTGCTTTGTTATACGTACTGCAGTCGTGCAACTGATCAAGAATACGTCATCGTTAGTCAGCTCATCGCAATCTGCTTTATTGTCTAATTACTAATCTCCTGCTATACGTACTGCAGTCGGGCAAATACGTCATCGTTAGTCAGCTCCTATACAATCACATTGATGTTTTGTTTGCTGTGATTAGATATTTCGAACATCAACAAAAAAAATTGTTATTGCATATAAAAATTAAACTGTGCAATACTTTGTGTCCCTTAACATAAAAAGTGTGATCAACGTCAACAAAGCCCTGACTGTACTACCGATTACTGTATAAATCAGGGAGAAATACGTCACCGTTAAACGTGTAATCTCATTGTTGCGTTTACTTTACAATATCCAGGTAACTGTATGCAGGTGTGGGTAAATAAACAGTCACATGCATAT